CAGGTGTTCAGATCTCATCAGAAAGGCCAAAGACTGGGCCTGGAATCACTAGGTATGTGCTCAGAGCCTGGCAGTGAAACACTTGTGGTTTGGTAAGGTCACAAATATATGAGTTCAATCAAAGTAGGCAGATTATGCTTAACTGGCTAGTGAAAAAAAATCTGGGTTTTATATTGTAAGGTAGCACAGTATTAACTCATGTCAGTGTTTAGAGCCCAGTTAGCATGTTTAAATTATTTTAGTAAATTTGAATGTGGTTGTTTATAAGGCTCTAAAGCTTTAAAAACTTGGTCATAGAACAAGATCATGCTGTGCTAAGAGCTTGCACAGCATGTCTTTACTCCAAGGAACATTTAGTCTAGGCATAAGATGAGATAAATTGATGGATGTAAGCGTCATACTGACATAATGCTACAGCATTGGCCAGCAGGACAGACAACAAAATTTCTGATCATATCCAGATAGATTGTTGTACACGTCCTAACATAATATTTTTACTTAAAAATGCCACGTACATGTGATGTTACTGGAATATTTGAGTTGTACTGATAGTGAAAGCTAAACACAGAAAATGTAGTCACCACCTTGCTCAATCATGTATACTTTATTGCCTTGTTAGATAAAGCTGCCCCTTGGCAGCCTTTCCCCATCATCTTTGTTTTATTAATGAGTAGTTTTGCCTTGCATTTTGAAAAGGCCATTCCTCTTCTGGCAGACCATGCTTTCTGGGGAGGCTAATGCTAGTTGTATATAAGTGATGACTTTCAACATGGGAAAGATTGCAAGTAATTTATAAATTAAAGCCTTTTATAGGCTATTGAACAAACACACCCAAGTACAATAGAATGAGACTATCCTGTTACACATTTTAAAAATAAATTATTTTCTTTCGACTTGCATTTATGGAAGTAGTCCAGCCCAGGGTTTCTTTCACCATGAAGTGACGGTAAAAAGGAAATTCTTTTGGGTTGATTCTGGTCTTGTTTTCTCTTCTGTTTAACCCCATTAGAGTTTAGAGTTCTACTTCATTTAGACAATGGACATGCTGGTGAAAAAAAATTGGTGTGCTTCAGTGTAGCAGGTCTGTAGTTGTGAGATACATCACTGAGATGTTTAAGGTATTCCTCTGGCTCTGAGGACAAGATTAGAAACTATGTGGAATACAGTTCCTTTGATGACACTGGAGAAATACCTATTAACTTCCATGGGCCCAAGTAATTGCTTTGCTTTAGAACTGCATTTATTTATTTATATCAAAATAATTTGATTATTTTCAAAGAAAAAAATAAAAACCTTGCTTATTAGTATAGGATTTTGTATTTTACTTGTAAAATAATCAGAATGGTTAAAACAAAGTTAAAGCAAAGGCAAAATTGGAGGCAGCATAGCCAAAAATCTAACTCAGATGGGGATGCTTCTTCCTTTAGTTTTAAGGACATTCTCAGAAAATAAAAACTTGGGAAATGTTGCTGCCTAAAATAATCAGATTTGTTGGGGAGCTTTCCAAAGACACATAACTGCTACCAAATATCTATTCGCAGAATACCTTATAGAAAGTAAGTAGTTTGAAGTCAGCTTTTAAGCAACTTCATGTAGGTAGTCCAAAAATTGTAGTACAAAACAGTTTAATTTTATGTGGGCTTTTTTGTCCCTTAATTAGCAACAAAATGAGGCAGAGTAAGAAAACAAATATTTGATCTCATTGGAAACTTGCTAATGTTTGATTGTTATGCCCTTTAACACAATTACTATGTTAAGTGGCTGGCAGAATGAATGGAAAGAATATGTCTTATCAATATTTTTAAGGATTTTCCTCTAGCTCTCTTAAAGGGTAAAATTATATTTGAATAATATTTTGTGCAGTTTCCATTTTTACTTTGAAAAAGAAATTTAAACACCAGTCTGATAAATGAGATTTTGAGTTTATTTTGATGCCATAGAACCACAGGGGTGTCACTTGTGTCCTTAGCAGATCTTGGGAGGCATTTCCCTTGGCTTCTAGTGCACCTGTCAGGCTTACAAAATCATATTGCTGAGCTCTGAACACTGCAGTGCTGCTCGTCTGTGTGAAAGCAAGGGAAATATAGACTGAGATCTTTATTGCTGGTTCCCATTTCTCAACGGTAGACTGGGCTGATTCAGAGAATCTGTTGGAAGATTAATATTTTGATTCTGACTTTATTAACCTCACCGAGATGCTAGTGTATGCCAAGTGAATTTTAGTGGGAAACAGGTCTTAGTTCTCTGTTTAATCTTTGGTTTAATAAATTCCTCTGCCAACTACTTTCAACATTGATACTTCTTCATTTTATCCTTGTGCTGTTGAATTCTTTCCTTTGTTCTCTTCCACCTCAAAACTCCAGAGTTCTCTCTTTTCTACCCCATTTGTTTTCACATTTCCTTTTCCTTGTGACATGCTAAATTATTCTCCTCTATCAAAGTTGAGACACACAATGTCTGTCTGCTACAGAGCTCCTTTTCTTTGCTGCCGATGTATCTCGCTGAAAAGTGTTCTTCTTGTGTCATTTCACCTTTTGCAACTTCTGTCTCTGAAAAACATTCCTATTTTTGATGGAGATAATATTTCTTTACTCTGGTTTTCATTCGAGGACCATTATCAAACTTATGTCTTCCTTTTGTCAGCTCTCCAAGAAGTCCAGATCAGTTATGTCCTTTTTCCTTCATTTCGTTGTGGCCACTGCAATTCCCTATTGTTGCTTGAGCTAATTTACCACATCCTCTGTTGAAGTATCTCAAGGCATCTACAAAGTTTGGAAGAGTAGTTAAAAGTAGTTGCAGTAGGTGATAATAACATACTTATTGCAGGATAATGATGGTTTGAGGCTTTCTGAGATGTGAAAAAGGTAGAACAAGTAGGGGTGAGGGTGACCCAGTATGCATGGAAACCTCTCTGATTGAATTGCGTGATTTACCAGTACACACAAGATGTGCTGTACAATAGAGGATTCTTTTGCAAGATCATTCTTGTAATAGAGCTACTGTTTCCAGAAAAGACACTTTTAATAGGAGATATACCAAAGCTTAACCACTTAAGTATCTTGTGTTCATGTGGATGTTGAGTTCTGGGCATTTCAACCCCGTTGCAAAAGTGGTATTGCAAAAGTATTCTTGTCTGCATGTGATGAGGAAGTAAGACTGACAGACCTGGTCTTTTTCTCTTATCATGGCCAATGCGAGGCAGTTGCCCAGGACATAGCAAAACAGTCCCGAGGGTGTCTTGAGGTGTCCTCAGGGTTTCTTCCTATCTGCCTGAAACAGACTCATTCTCTGCTCTCTGTTCCACTGCTCAGGGAAGTCTGCAGTGCCAAGAGAGCACAGGCTCTCCTTAGTTTTCACTGAAAATAATACATGAGGCGTCCAGCATAAGATAGAGGAAGAGGCAGATTCCCTGTTGCTGTCGGTAAAGAAATATGAAGGAGGCGGCACAGTTTCCCCAACAACTCCCCCTTTCCTTCCCTATCCCATTAGTCCACATTCTCTTCCTGCCCAGCCCTCCAGTGATGCCTAATCTCATTTTCAGGGGCTGCTGCCAGATCTGCTGGCAGCTGCAGTTTCTTGGCCGCGGTTTTCGGCGAGGGAGCCGAGAGCGCTGAGGAAGAGGAGGAGAAGGAAGGAGGAGGAGGAAGGCTGTGCCGTGTGGCGGAGCGGCGGCAGCGGCAGCACCTTTGACGTGCCCGTCCCCCACGTGACGGCCGCTCCATTGCGGGGAGGGAGCTGAGCTGCCGCCGCTCCGGCAGAGCACGGGAGAGCCGCAGCCTCGGCGGCGGCAGCGGCAGCAGCGCCTCCGCCCGCAGTGCGTGTGTGTGCGTGTGTGTGATGAGCGATCGCCGCGTCCCTCCGCCCGCTGCCGGCTGACACCCACCGCGCGGGGCGCGCCAGGAGCAGCAGGAGCAGGCGAGGAGCCGCGGCAGCGCGCAGTGACCTTGGCCCAGGAGGTAACCGAGCGGGCGGCTCCGCACCCCTCCGCGCCCCCGCCCCGCGCCTCCCACGGCGGGGCCGAGGCCCCGCTCCCGCCGGGGCCCCCGGGCGGCGCCGGCGCTGCCGCCGCTGTCCGCGGTGCTGGAACCGCGGGCTCCGCGCCGGGCTGCCCGGGGAAGAGCCGGACCGCCCGGCCTTGGGCCGCCCGGAGCCGGCGGGCGGACGGGGAGCAGCCAACCCGAGCGGTCTCGGGGCTCGGGAGGGCTCGGGAGCTTAGTGCTCGGAGTAGGGCTCGGCGGCTCTCCGCGCTCTCCGCATCCGCCGGTGTGGTCTGTAGATGGAGCACATTCTTACACCTGCGTGCAAAGCCGGAGCTACGGCATGATCCGAGCTCCTGCTTAGTGCAGCTCCCGTGTGACCCGGGGGAGGGCGGGGAGGAGACGGGGCTGGCAGGGAGCCGGTGTTTGGCGGTAAAGTGCGATGAAAGTAGGTGAGAGCAACCGGAACGGTGTTCTGGCTTGTTTCTTAATTTTCCCTCGTCACCTGCTCCCCTGCCCCGGAGTATGTACCAGCATAGATGTGCTAGTGAATTACAGGGAGCTCAAAGCGTCTGGTTTGCTTTTCGTGCGTTTGAATGTTGTGAAAGTTGCTACGACCCGAGCTGTGAGCGGAGGGCACTGCTGAATTCACGTCATGGGCCGAGTCCGTCCTCCCAAAACTGGCCTGGAGGGTGGAGAGCGTCCCTTGGCGAAGCCCGTGCAGGGGAGGAAGAAGCGCTTTGTGAGGAGGCGTCTGTGTGATGTGGTGGTTAGCGATGTGTCAGGGTTCTGAGTGACAATTCATTAGCGTTTAAATTAGATCAGCACGTTACATCCATTATTTACCGGCAAAAGAGCTTAGTGACAGTAAATGGTGAATTAGCAGCTTTTCTCCAATGTAAATATCTGTTGGAGTAAGAGCATACAGTGACTTTGATAACATGTAAGTCAGGTCCATTAATCATCAGGGAAGCAAGGAGACCTGAGGCGATGCCCTATTGAAACCACTTTTACCTTTTGCAGTGCAACATCCAAAAGCGGATCAAATTTGTGGGACATGGCACAAGGAAATAATTATGGGCAAAGCAGCAATGGGGTGGCTGATGAATCCCCAAACATGCTGGTGTACAGAAAGGTAAGCCTTTGTATTTTTCAGAAGCTGAGGAAGGTGAAGTCCTGGACCTTTTGCCTAGCAAGTGAAGCCATTATTTTTGCTGTTTCTCTCCAGTTTCTTGAATAGAGAAATGAATGTATCTGTTGTTTGAAATGATAAAATCTGCACACGTCAACTTTGCATCTTGTTCAGAAGCAGCTGCTTTTCAATTTGAGATACCTGATGTATTTCAGTTACTCTCTGCATTGATACATATGATACATGAAGGTGGTGACATGCCAGAGACTGGACCATGTTTTGAGGTCAAGTGTTCACTTTAAAGTTTATTTGTAAAACGGTTCCATATGTATTAAAGCTAAATATCAACTGTACAATACAGTATCCTGTCTCGTGCAGAGAAGTTGGAACCATTAAGTTATTTAATATGAGGGGAACAGCTGATTAAAGATCTCGCCTATCTGCAATTGCCACAAGTAAAAACCCCCCGAAAACCATACACTTTAGAATTTTTCTCTGAGAAGACTTCCAGTGTAGTTATTCTTACAACATCAATACACAAAATTTCCAGGTATTGAACTCTAATAGTGAGGCTTATTTAGTGATTATGCTTTAATTTAAGTGAGAGTAAATGCTTAGAGATTGTGAGATGCCTTTATAAATTTTTTTAAAAGCCTTAATTGCATTTAGGAAAAAAGAATAACAACACACGTTCTAATAATAATGGAGAAAACATAATTTTGCTGTTGCAAATTAAAATAAGTAATTATGCAACTGCTTGTTTATTCTTAGAACACAGTGCTTCTTAACTTGTTTGTGGTCGTTTTTACCAGGTGGAAAAAATCAATATTTTACTTTGTTAGAGGCATTGACTTTTCCGCTTACAAGTTAACTGTAATAGAAAACATCTGATATATAATCAGTTTAGTCTTTGAGGTGAACTGAAGTATAAACTATAACTGTGGTAAGTGTTATTTTCTCAGAAATTAAAAAATAGTCTCAAATTGAAGTTTGATGCATGCTTTTTCTCTTCGTGTTTTCAGCTATGTTGCTGATTTCGGTTTATTGTGTCTGCTATTTTGTGAAATTAGGCTCCTTTTATATAAGTCAATGAATTTATGAACCTAACTGTGGTTATCCTTCTACAAATGCACATCTAGAAGAATACAGATTACCTTGCCATTAACGCCACAAGTGTGTTTCAAAAGGCAATTGCATACATTTAAAATATGCTGTATATATGAAAAGCAATATACCACATCTTATATTGTTCGTTGCAGGTTTTTGATCTTTCTAAACAGAATCTTTCTACATTTGCTATTTACTTCAATGCTGGCAAAAAGGTATTTTCGCAGCTTATTTAGTACACAGAGGGACCAGCTTATTTAGTACACAGAGGGACAACACAGAGAAACTGTTTCTCTCTTCCTTTAGTGAGTTTGGTAAAATCTGTAGTAAAATTTGTGACCTATGGTATTTAGTATGACCTTATGCCAAAATTTATCATTGGCTCTGGGCAGTGTCCATCGCCTTTGAGCAGCATCCAGATTGAATGGAACATCTGGGGCGAGTGACGACAGTCCCCGTGATGCACAGGAGATTTGAAAATGAGGAGTGGGAATAGGACACACCACCTCAGGTGTAATTTCAGCAAATCAAGACATAAAACACGTCTTTTGTTCTCTGCAATACATCTGTAAAGGGATGATACGAATTTGTGTCCTTCAGTGCAGCAGTGGTCCTTCCCTTGTTGTCACTAAACAAGAGGTGCTCTGAATATTAAACTTTGAAAAATACTGGCCTTCTACAACAAAATAATAGATAACTTTTCAAGACATCTGCCTTTTCTTGAAATAGGATATTGATGTAAGCAAATGTCCTAAATTCTGGATCTGGAACATAAGAGGATAGTCAACTGGAAATCATTTCACTTTAGAGTGTATAATTCTTTAATAGGAACAACTAAATCATAGGATTCCTTGTAATACATTTGAAAACACAATACTTCTCTCTCTGTCTGTCATTGTGCTGGGAACGAAAGCACTGTATGAACAAAGAACTAGATCTGACACCTTAATGGAGGACTCTCTTATTTGGCCAACTGGAAAAATATTAACAGTTTTTAGAAAAAAAAAGTACATGCTATGGGCTGGGTTCAATCTGAACTGAATTTGAAGTCTTATGTTTTGAATAATGTTGCTGAAATTCACAAAGGTGAAAATGCTTTCTTCTAGTAGTTTATACGTCAACAGATGGGAATGCACACATTTTGTGATATCTGTACCTACAAAGAATAGATGGAACATCTCTTACTTCTGTTAATGAAGAGTTAAAATTTGGATATGCTGTGAAGGCTGTTATTTTGGCTATAAACCACAATTTTGTAATCTGGTAATTCTGCTAGTCTGTCTAATTTACAGACACAATCTGAACTAAGTATGTTCTGTACTACATACAGCTCTGTATTGCCTAAATCTTGATTCTGTCATGAGTATTTTATAAAAAATTCTATACAGAATGAAGTCCCAGTGTTTTCAAATTTGGTTTTTAAAGCTCAGTTGTTTCAAACTCTTGAAAAAAATTACTGGTTTTCTATTTTTTTGAATGCATTTGTTTTTGATTATTTGCTTATTTGAAGAATTGAACAATTGATAATCAAATTGTCATCTCAAGTAATATAGAGTGTAGATAGTCTCTTATTTTCATCAGTCAGCTTTTATTCCTAGCTGAGCAAGGGTTTCATTACATTGTGCTTCCAAAAAGGAATTTAAAAAAATCAGCATAAGATAATTCAATATTCAATACACACATAACTAAGAATTACTTATTTGAATCTGGAAAAGACAGCAGCACAGATAAATAGTTCCCTATATAATTTTTACTCTGCCTTTTAAGATGCTTGTATCAGTGTTTTTATGCCTTGGGGAATAATTTTTATTTTAATAGAATGTCAGCTGCATTATTCTTTTTGTCTATCAGCCTAATTATAAAGTAATGACATGTGACACATCATTGGCACTGACATACCTTAGAAAAAGTCCTGAATTTTTCTGCTGGTAGCCTGAGGTAAATATGAAAAATGTAAAACCCCTCCTTTTATTTCCTCTCTGACAGAGTCCATTCCAGCCAGCAATTAGAAGAGATAAGACACTGAAATCCATAGTCTTTTAACATCACAAATTGCTCATGCAGAAATCTCATGTTTTGGCAACACTAACTTGCTGGTACAAGCTAGGTCTTAGGGAAGAAACTTGAGATGTATTAGTGTAGTAGAAGGCCCATACTATGAAGTTTTTCTAAGTTTCAGAGCCTGACCTGCCTTTTTTTTTTTAAATTAATTTTAAATCTCTGCACACAATTAAAAGAGTAAGAGTTTCCTGTTAGGAACTTGTATTTTAGACCTACTGCTGGTCTTACTAAACTTTCTGGTCTGTGCTTTGCTTACTTTTTCAGTCAAACATATGCTGCAGCTATTAGGAGTTCTGATTTGCAAGTTTGATGGTTATTGTATTGCTGCCTCAACTAGCTTCATTTGAGAGCTGATAGCTTTATTTTGTAGCAATAAGATTATCCTTGTCTGAAAGGTAATATTCTTGTGACTGACATTTTGGCAGTGGGGCTTTCAGTGTTCTAATAAAGATAATGAGGTGTTTGTTCTGTTTCTTTGACAATGGTGGAAAGTCATATATGCCAGTACTCATGTATAGCAAGGGCTGAATTTGTAGTCTCAAACTCCATAGTTTAACATGATCTAATATTCTTCATAGACACCACACCTTCAAAGCATGATACTTTCCAATATTGTTGGAAATGACCAGTAGTCATGCAGGGACAACATTTGAGGGAGCAGTGACACCATCTAATAACCATTCTCCATCTCTGCTTCCACTAGAGATGACTTCCAGTATAAACTGCTCTGTTCTCATGTGGCCTTTATCAACTGCTCCCTAAAAAGATTGTTGGAAGAAAATGGTATCATGGAGAACTGTGTTCCTTAGAGCCTGTGAGACTAAGAAGGACATTTTAGGTGGGTTTTTATGAGTGCCATCACTCTGAGAAGAGAAGAATCACTCTGATACTACACGTTTCTGAATATGCCGTGACATTCTGTGAAGGCATCTTGTTTGTTACTGCATTGGAAAAGGCAGAGTGCTCTAAGGTACTAGAGATAAGTAGTGTGGGGTTTTGGGGTTTTTTTGTGTGGTTTTTCCTAGTGTGTTTATAATTTTTAAAAAATTATTTATTAAATTACAGTAAACCTCTAGATTATGATGTTTCTTCTGAGAAGAAGAGTGGCACTGGTGTGAGTCTGGTTGATGGTCTTGGTGTTATTCTAACACTCATCATTATAGAGTTAATTGATGGGGAAGGGTCGACATTTGTGAACCATGGGACTTTCTGCTGTAGGAAGGAAATAATTTACCCTCCTATCCAATAAGTTATCAGGAAGTTGTAGTCCTGGAGTAGCTGGTTGATAGTGAAGTAAGCTTTTGCACAGGGAAATGTAGGGAGTGGGAACTTAATAGAGATGGACAGAATAGCTGGTTGATGCTGTGGAGTGACTTTTGTTTTCCTCTATGCTCTCACCCTCATGTTTTGTAGCTATTCTCTGTGCAGATTCATTTTGCTGTATCCTCACCTGGAATGGTGATAGTTAGTACTAGGTGTAGCATGTATCTAAATTTCGTCATCATTTGTGATAAAAGCAGTATAAAGGATTTGATCGTCTTCATAACCATATAGAACAACTGAAAATTCCAAGGAAATTCCATTAAAAAATGTGTCTGAGTCTGTAGGTGCCTAGATCAGCAAGAGGGACACTTCTCCTGTTTTGATGATTCCTGCTGGTGTTTTCCATCCTTTCTGTTCTGCTCTTCCTTCCACTAGGTATAGAAGTACATCAAGTGATACTGCAGTGAGAGATTCACTGCTGCTTACTGTTCTGAGCTTGATGTGCTCTCATCACTGGTATTACTGTCAAATGCAAAAACCCCACAGCATTCTGTGCCACCATGTTTAATTCT